ACAAATGCTTCAATTTAGTATAATACTCAGTTCATATAGAATCCTACCACTTTAAAACTCCAAGGGGTCATAGAGATCATTTGGATTCCCTTATTACAGATTAGAGAACAGAGGCTCACAGAATATCTGGTTTCCTTTTCCCATCATAAAATAGTACCCTCCATTTATATAGAGCTTCATAGTTTCTGATGTTCTCTAAACATCTTTCATTCAGTCTCCTTTGAGTCTCACACTATCTTGATATGTGGTCGAGTATTATTCCTTCTTTACAGATAAGGAAACAGTCTCAAGTTGAGGGCTTGGGCCTTATTCCAATTCTTTGAACCTCTATTCCTGTAGTTTATCACTAGCCCAGCTATTCTTCTTAAACCCTACTTACCTCAAAGTATGTCATTTCACTCTAAATTCATTTCAGGAATAACTGCACTGCAGTGGTTTCTACTCTGGGTCCTGAGACCTAGAATATGATCTTCCTTGCCCATTAGAGATAACCTCTCTGAAATGCTGAAGTTTCTTTGCTTTTCTGTCTCCAGGATACTCAGAGTACGCAGCATGTCAATGCCACCCAAGCCCAAGGCAGCCACGCCCCACCCCATGTTCCTTCCTGTCTTTCAGTTGAGTGCCAGGAAGGTCAGCTGCTTCCCAGAGTAGGGACCTGCTTATAATACCCCTACATAGTCAGTCTGGCACACAGTGATGTAGTACTTCCCAACCCTCTTTGTATCATTAGATAATTGCCATCCATTAGAGTGTCTGTTACAGGAGTGAGAGTCAAAGTGCTAATTTCTTTTATTACTTAAGAAAACATCTTCCTTCTAGTCACTGTTTAGGTTTCCATCACTGCATATGTACATAATGCTTCCCTGGTGTTTTGTGTGGGCCTGCTTGCATGTGAGTGCTGGGGAAAGCAGGATATCAGTGTGTATGAGTCCTGACTGGCAGTCGATCCTTTCCCTTTTCCACATTGTTTTTAAGCAGCTATCCTCAGGGGATGCTCTGGCTCTGTACTCGGATGCAAATCAGCAGGCACTCGTTTTCTCATTCTTGTCTTCTGTGTGGTGCATTTTAGAGCACTTTTAAGATCACCACAGAGCTTGCCTTTCATTACAGCCATAGTTCCCAAACCAAATTAAGAAAAGCAGGTCATTTCTTCTACTCTCTCCTGGATGGGGAAAGCCTAAGAATATGTCTTTAATCCTATCCTGTACTCTTTAGACTCCATTTACTACCACCCTCTGGCAATGAAAGAATTAGTTTTCCTTCTGTTTTAGAGTCAACAGAATGAGACTTTCATAGGAATAGGTAAGCAATCTCTGGGTTAATGGCTTCTGCTGCTGCTAAATCACTTCAGTTGTGTCCGACTCTGTGCGACCCCATAGTTGGCAGCTCACCAGTCTCCTCCGTCCCTGGGATTCTCCAGGCAAGAACACTGGAGTGGGTTGCCATTTCCTTCTCCAATGCATGAAAGTGAAAAGTGAAAGTGAAGTCGCTCAGTCGTGTCTGACTCCTAGCGACCCTATGGACTGCAGCCTACCAGGCTCCTCCGTCCATGGGATTTTCCAGGCAAGAGTACTGGAGTGGGTTGCCACTGCCTTCTATGGAGCTAATGGGTGGGTTAAGATTATTTCTACATTGATTTTGCCTGCCACAATTCTTGACCATCTCCTTTATGGTTTATAAGGGTCTGTGATCTTGAGAGGAGAGGTACTGGGCAAATATTTAAAATATGTACTTGGATGTATTTAGACCAAGAAAACACTCAGAAACCTCTGGATTGTAGGAATAAATGTAAAATATTACAAATATGACCTGTTCTTCAGGGGAAAAAAATCTTTTGGGAGATTATCAGGACCAATTTGAGTCTCTTTCTCTATATTAAATAGGAATAATGAGACTGGGCGCCATATTTTAAGTGATTATTTACCTTTAGGTAGTAGAAATACAGATTTTTTTCTTTTCTTAGCTTTAAAAATACTATTTTTTCCCCAAAGCTTCATATGATGAACACATATTATTCTTTTTCTTTTTCTCTTTAGTTCTGCCACTTTATTGCTACCAACCCATCTCCCTCCACCCTCATGCACACATGCTCAGTCATGTAACCCCATGGACTGCAGTCCGCCAGGCTCCTCTGTCCATTAACTTTTCCAGGCAAGAATACTGGAGTGGGCACATATTATTCTTAAAGATGTATTCATAAGAAGTTTTATTTTTTAAACTAAAGTTACTTACATTATTAAAATTTCCCTGAAAGCCTGTCATATATAGTGAGTTTGGTTGTTTGCCATTGGCATGACAGACTCTATTGAGCCAGCATCATGGGAGGTGAGGCAGCTTTGTCATCTCATTTCTTTTGAAAATTGTTGGAAAGAAAACAAGGTTCCCTTCCCACACCTAGGTTCAGCCAGGAAAAGTGAAAGTGAACGTCACTCAGTTGTGTCCAGCTCTTTGCGATCCTATTGACTATACAGTCCATGGAAATCTCCAGGCCAGAATACTGGAGTGGGTAGCCTTTCCCTTCTCCAGGGGAATCTTCCCAACCCAGGGATCGAACCCAGGTCTCCCGCATTGCAGGTGGATTCTTTACCAGCTCAGCCAGAAAAACCCGTTAAATTGAAACACTTTATTTTTTTCTATTTTAACGCTTACCTTTCTTCCCTCTCACCCAGGGGTTAAGCATCATAAGCTGTAGATGACAGTTGTTGAGCTTAGGCAGTGGCAGATTGAAGCCGATGGACAGTGGAAAAGGAGGACACACAGCTTTCTAGCACCTCCTGAATTGAGTTCACCTGTAAGGCCTCACGTTTAAGCCCTTTTTGCTTTTACTCCCCCCTTGCCCTCACCCAGAATTTCAGAATTTGATTCTGTTGCAGATGAGTAATACTAATCTGTGGGCAAAAGTAGACCCTAGCCCGTCTTGATACATGTGACCCCAGTAAGCTCAGCCTTTATGTTCTGAGCCTTTCCATATTACCTTTGGGTAGAAGTATAAAGGGACCTCTTTGTACAAAGAAGGGATTTCCATAAAAAGTCTGAAAAGACACCCTGTTTAGAAGAGATGGGTCATGCTCATTTTCATGATCAATATTTATTGACTGTAATGTGCATAGTTGGGATATTTCTTGAAACAAGTATAATATCTCTATTGCCAGCATAGGAAGTTGATATATTTTAGCTCAGTTAACTAAGAAACTGATTACTTTGGCCTCTTGGATTCTTTCAAAATGGCCTAGAAAGTATCTTCCTTGAATGATTAAGATTTGAAATGGTTGAAACATAGCCATTAAAAGCATTGGAATTTGTTTCTAAATAGTGACTGAGTGTTGAAATGTTAATAGTTGGAGAAGTAAATTCACTTATAGAGTTGCCGTTAACTATATATTCACTTAATATATAAATGATGTATTACTTAATATGTCATTTATTCACTTAAGGTATCATCTAGAACATGTAGCTGTTTTATTTTCACTTGTCCCTTCTTCCTAGCTCCTGAGTACAAAAATAAAGTAGCGATTAAAATAACTGAGTAAATTAAAATGAAAAATCAGAAGATTAAAATAGCACCCTTTCACAATATTTTATCAAGGTAAATTAACAGACTGTGGTTCTTAAAAATAGCTCATCTGGAGCATTTCTAAGATGAAAACCTCATCAGAACTATCCCACCACCCACACCCCCTAAAAAACTCCAAAATAAATTTACTTCTGAGCTTGGCTATTGTTAGATAGGGTCTATGATGATCATATTATAAAAGAAACAAAGACTTGGTGCTTTTAAAAAGTATTAGATATAGAAATTTTTTGTCAATACCAGATTTATAATTCAATCTATGATGTTGGAAAGATGAATGTTATTTTTTATCCTCCCCCTCCATGGTCGTTCATTGGTTTATTTAGTCTTTTCTGAGTTTGCTTTATAATTCCTGGGTTTTATAAAATTTTTATTGACATATAGTTGATTTACAGTGTTGTATTATTTTAAGGTGTACAGAAAGGTGATTCAGATGTATTTATTTATATATGTGTATATTCTTTTTTAGATTCTTTTCCAGTATAGATTATTACAAGATATTGAGTATAGTTCTCTGTGTTATACAATAGGTCCATGATGGTTATAAATATTATTTTTAGAGTACATAAAATGAAGTTTTTCCAAGTAAAGTACTTTTCACCTAAAATCATTCTCCTAAACTGATAAATACAATATCAAAGGAGGTATGGTTTAATGTAACTAAATAGTCTCTGTGAATTTTAATAATGATTTTATGCTCTTTCAGCCTTATAATTAAAGTGCTTGATGAAGATGGATTTTTTTTGGCCTTGGAGTGATTGTGTATTGCCTCCCTGTTACTTTGATAATACAAATTACAGGTTCCTTCTATTTAGATGTATGGGATCTCCTATTTATGATCCAATTTAAGCACTGTGTTGTAGTGTAATACATGTAAATTTTTTTAAAAAGATACACACACATGTATATTTTTCAATAATCTATTATATACTTACTTTCTGCCTCCTTGGAGTTGGTACCAGTGCTACTGTCCATGCCAAACAGTGGCCTGCATCCTTTTCTCCCTGTGTTTTCTGAAGTTCTCTTGCTGACACGCTTTATTCCCCCTGCCTTCCTGGGACCCACTCCAGAACTAAACTATGCACTGTGTACTGAAACCCAGACATACCAACCTCTAGCAATTACTGACCTCTCTGCCACAGGAAACATTAGAAGCTGTTTTCTATACCAGTTGAGTTTTAGTTAACTCAGTTGACTTGCCATTAAGGTGACATACTTGCTTTTCTATTGAGAAAAAGTTATGAAGTTTTAACTAAAATTTCAAAAATCATTATCTTTCTTCCTATAAAAGTGTTATTGTTTAGGATTCAAAGCAATAGAGACTCTTGAAATTATTTCGATGAACATCAGTAACTCTTAACTCTCAAATCTTACAGCTTTTCTCAATAAAATTCCTGTTTCAATTTTCCTTTTTCTTTTTTCCTTGTAGTGGACTTTTGGGAGCAATAAAAATAAGAAGAAAGGAAAAGCCAGAAAAATAGAGAAGAAAGGAACCATGAAGAAACAGGCAAATAAAACTGCTTCCTCAGGCAGTTCGGACAAAGACAGTTCAGCTGAGAGCTCAGCCCCTGAGGAAGGTGAGTCAAGTTAGACCTGGGAGTGAACTCTTACGTGTAGAAGCTGCAGAATCAGAAATCAGGGGGACAGGTACCTGATTTACAGTATGGTCTCTGCCTTTATTGCAAGCCTATCTAATCTTTTCAGTGGTCATGTATCTGTTTAGAATCTGAATGAAGCAAGAAAAATACATACAATTCCAAAGCATTAGTTAGGCCCTTGAAACCCATCCAGGAAACCCAGGAGGAGTCCCTGAGTTAGAGTCTCCGTCACCTTAACCTGAGAGCCTTCTCTTTCATTTTTCTTGGATATTCATAGGGTAACTGAGGAGGAAAATCCTTGAACCAAATACAAAACTCAGTAAAAAATGTTGTTGTTTTGAAATCATAATTTTTGCTAACACTAGTTTGAAAATGAATTTGTTCCCGGACTAAACTGGTAAACTTTTACATTTCCTTTGAGTAATAACATTTATATACAAACTGGCTTGTACAGAATTGGCCTAACCTGGTTTCAAGCACATGCCTGTGAATGTTAACTCAAATGAGTCAAGCACAAAGTTGCTAGTTTTACTTAATAAAAACTCAGTTGTAGTATGTCTTGCTTTTTTCCATCACCCTTTGTCCTACCAAGATCCAATTACATTAGAAATTCACTAATCAGTTCAGTGATTTATTAAAACATTGATTCTTTTAAATGCTGACCAATAAATGTAGAAGAAACTGTAGTTTGAAAAAAATCACCATTTTCAACCTTCATGGTAATCATTGATTTACTGAAGAGTTATTGACATGTGTTAAAACCACTGGGCAAGAGTTTGTTGAAGAACAAGATGTCTACACAGTCTCAGAGCATCTCCCTATATGTACTATGAAAGGTGGATATGGACTTAAATGGTAAATTTCCTGGGTTTGATCATTGTATATTTGGTTATATAAGAGACTCTCCTTTTTACAAGAATTACTTAATGGTGAAAATTCACAATCTCTGCAGCTTACTCTCAGTTCAGCAAAATAAGTGATAAAAATGTGTACATTGCTTTATATATGCAGACAGAAAGTAAATTAGTGATGTTAACAGTGGGTATTCTTGCAACTTTTTTCTTTGGTCTGTGATTTTTTTGAAAATACAAAAATCCAATTTAAGAAATCATGCTGGTGATTTCTTAATCCAGCCTAAGATTCTATAACCTGTGTTTGCGTTTGCCAAAGGCGGATCAAGAATTGTCACCAGGGAAATGAGATGACCATGTTCCACTTCACCTAGGAGAGCTTGAGGAGGAATGATTATCAACACATGTTTTCTGCAGCATCACCTAATCTTGTGTTTGGGCTTGTGCTGCAGGTGAAGTGTCAGATTCTGACAGCAACAGCTCCTCCTCCAGTTCAGATTCAGACTCTTCCTCAGAAGATGAGGAATTCCATGATGGCTACGGAGAAGACCTCATGGGAGATGAGGAAGACAGGGCCCGTCTGGAACAGATGACAGAAAAGGAGAGAGAGCAAGAACTGTTCAACCGCATAGAGAAGAGGGAGGTGTTGAAAAAAAGGTAAAGTAGTGGTTCCTTAATGATACATTAATAGAGTAATTTTCCAAAGTTCGCATTTGGAGCCCTGTCTTCCTAGGGTTTAAGATTTGAAATTTTGGTAATTCCTCCGTGGTCCAGGGATTAGGACTCCACCGTTTCACTGCTAAGGGCTCAGGTTCAATACCTGGTTGTGGAAGCAAGCCATGCAGCACAGCACCCCCCATCCAAAAAAATGACTTGAAATTCTCAGTATTTATGAGTTAGGAATCTGACTATCCTTATAGCATGGTTTTTGTATTTTTTTTTTTCTTCCAAACTCTAATGTTAAATTGCTTTCTGGTATACAAAGGTGTTTCAGTATTTAGGATTACATGTGTAAATGACAAAAGTCAAGGAATTTCCTTATCTCCTGAAAGAATTTCAAGGTGAAAATAAACTTGGCTTTCATCTCAGGAAATAGTCCTCAGAACTAGGATTATTCTTTCCCGACCTAATCATGTGAAAGAAACAGAGAAGCGTTTTCTTTGGCAGCAGGTAGCCCCATTTCATCTGGGAGCCTGGTTGTCCCTTCTGGAGACCAGGTTAAGTCTGGTGAGTTATCCGAGACAAGAATGTTTGGCTTTCAGTCAGCAGCAAGTCATAGACGTTTGTTTTGAGTGTGGATGCTTCCACGGTTACCTATATTGGAACAAACAGGACTTGAGAAACAGTACCAGAGTTGCCAGATGGTTAAGAATGACTTCGAAAATTTGTATTTCTGAACTGTGGAGAGCATAGCAAGAGGTTCTCAACCAAGGCCAGTAGGGCCCTATGGTAAAATCACCAAGTAGCTCAAGATAAGTAGGTGGCTTATCTCAAGGTTGGTTTTTATGTTTTTCACCTTATATGAATGAGGCAGTTGAAGAATGTTTGCAGTGAGGAGAATTAAGACAGAAGTTCAGAGCCATTCTCAGAAATTTGAAGGTTTTGTAGCTCATTTGTTTACCTGCAGGTCAGTACATGGTAACTCAGAAACCTTTGTGTAAACATCACTAGCATCCTAATGTGAGATGTAGTGGCAGCACCAGTAATGAGGCATCCTTTTTGGTGTTTTTTTTGTTTTTTGGGGGGGTTTTACTTCTTTGGGGGGGGGTTGTTTTGTTGGTTTTGGAGTTTTTTGTCTTTGTTTTGACAGCTTTGTGCAGCGTGCGGGATCTTAATTCCCTGACCAGGGATCCAACCCGTGCCCGCTGCAGTGGAGGCCCAGTCCTAACCACTGGACCGCTAGGGAATCCCCAAAGTGTTGGTTTTGGTTGTTAGGTTCTTCCCCTATTCTAGCTTTCTCTTTTTTATTATTTATTTACTTACTTATTCAAACTTAGTGCATAAAGGTAACTTGGTTGTATAAAGAGCACTGATATTTTCTGTCAGAAAGTCTAGGCTCAAGTCCAACTCACTAGCCAGGTGATCTGACCCTCCTCCTGCCTCAGCCTCCCCTTGAGGGATTTTTGTAAGTTCAAAGTGAGATGATACATGTAATAGTTGATATACAATATTATATAAGTAACATGTATAGTAATTCACAATTTTTAAAGGTTATACTCCGTTTATATTGTTTACTGTTGTTCAGTTGCCAAGTTGTGTCTGAGTCTTTGTGACCCCATGGACTGCAGTACACCAGGCTCCTCTGTCCTCCACTATCTCCCAGAGTTTGCTCAAACTCATGTCTATTGAATCAGTCATGCTATCTAACCACCTCATCTTCTGCCACCCTCTTCCCCTTTTGCCTTCAGTTTTTCCCAGCATCACAGTCTTTTCCAGTGAGTCGGCTGTTCACGTTAAATAGACATAGTAGGAGAAGGAAATGGCAACCCACTCCAGTATTCTTGCCTGGAGAATCCCAAGAACGGAGGAGCCTGGTAGGCTACAGTCTATGGGGTCGCAAGGAGTCGGACACAACTAAGCCAGTTCACTTTCAGTTTTACCATTATTCACTAAAACCAAGTCTTTTAGTGTGTATTGCTGGAAAGCATAATTTTCCTGCCATCTCATGCAATTAGTTATTGGACTCCTCAACAGAACTATACAGTTATTACAATTAAATTTTATCTCATTAGATTTAAACTTATTTTTGGATTCTCTGTTGGTTATATAATAACCTATTTATCTATCATGTATCATCTACTTAAATGCCTTTTTTTGCTGTTTTCCTATTTCTTAACATTAATCAAGCACCTACTATATACCAGGCATTCTTGATGTAGATATTAGAGATCCAAAAATGAATTAAATATCTGCTGCCTTCAAAGACTCCTCATGCTCTTGGATAAGACTAATTATTCATAATAAATTTGAGAGCAAAAAGGTAGAAACAACTAAATATGTCCAGAGTGATATGTGAGATAAGAGAATCTTCACAAAGCAGATGACATTTTAGGCCAGATTTGATAATGATGATAATAGGCACTATTATTCCCTAATATTCATTCAGTAAATACTGACCAACTTATCTAATAATCAGTTATTGAATGTTGATCATATTTCTGGCATCCACATTGGGAGTTTCAGTAGTAAATCACACAGACATGGAACTTAGTGTCTAAAATAATTGCATAATTACAAGTTATTAAGTACTTTATTAAAAGTGAGTGTCAACATAATATAGTGCTTTAAAAGCATGGATTTTGAGACCAGATTATCTGGTTACAAATCCCCAGTTCTGCTACTTACCAGATGTATGACCTTATGTAAATAACTTTTTTTGTACTTCTTTGTACTTTGTACTTCATCTGAAAAAATGGGAATAAAAATAGCACCGACTTAAATAAATAAATAAATAAATTAAATAGACATAGTATTGGAGCTTCAGCTTCAGCATCAGTCCTTCTTATGAATATTCAGGGTTCATTTCCTTTAGGGTTGACTGCTTTGATCTCCTTGTAGTCCCAGGGACTCTCAAGAGTCTTCTCCAGCACCACAATTCAAAAGTATTTATTCTTTAGCACTCAGTCTTCTTTATGGTCCAACTCTTAAATCTGTACATGAACATTGGAAAAATCAAACATACAGACCTTTGTCAGCAAAGTGATGTATCTGCTTTTTAATATGCTGCCTAGCTTTGTTATAGCTTTCCTTCCCAGGAGCAAGCATCTTTTAATTTCATGGCTGCAGTCACCATCTGCAGTGATTTTGAAGCCCAAGAAAATAAATCTGTCATTGCTTCCAGTTTTTCCCCTCCTGTTTGCCACGAAGTGATGGGACTGGATGCCATGACCTTAGTTTTTTGAATGTTGTGTTTTAAGCCAGCTTTTTCAGTCTCTTCTTTCTCCCTCATCAAGAGGCTCTTTAGTTCCTCTTCACTTTCTGCCACTAGAGTGGTATCATCTGCACATCAGAGGTTGCTGATATTTCTCCTTGCAGTCTTGATTCCCGCATGTGATTCATTCAGCATTTCGTATGATGTACTATGTATAAAGTTAAATAAGCATGGTGACAGTGTACAGCCTTGTTATACTCTTCCCAGATTATATTGTTAGTTATTGTAAATATTGGCTATATTCCATACTGTACAATATATGCTTGTAGCTTATTTTATACATAGTAGTTTGTACCTCTTAATTCCCTACCCCTATAGTGCCCTTCCCCACTTTCCTCTCCTCAGTGGTAACCACTAGTTTATTCTCTGTGTCTGTGGATCTGTTTTTTTGTTTTTGTTGTTATATTCATTAGTTGTATTCATTTGTTGTATTTTTTAGATTTCACATATAAGCGATATCATACAGTATTTGTTCTCCCGCGTCTGACTTACTTCACTTAGCGTGTGCTATGTAGTTTCAGTCGTATCCGACTCTCTGCGACTCAGTGGACTGCAGCCCTCCAGGCTCCTCTGTCCATGGGATTATCTAGGCAATAATACTGGAGTGCCATTTCCTCCTCCAGAGGATATTCCCCACCCTGGGATCGAACCTGCATCTCTTAGGTCTCCTTCATTGGCAGGCAGGTTCTTTACCACTAGTGCCACATGGGAATCCCCTTTCTTATCATCAGTTCAGTTCAGTTCAGTCGTGTCTGATTCTTTGCAACCCCATGAACCACAGCACGCCAGGCCTCCCTGTCCATCACCAACTCCCGGAGTTTACTCAAACTCATGTCCGTTGAGTCAGTGATGCCATCCAGCCATCTCATCCTCTGTCGTCCCCTTCTCCTCCTGCCCCCAATTCCTCCCAGCATCAGGGTCTTTTCAAATAAGTCAACTCTTCGCATGAGGTGGCCAAAGTATCGGAGTTTCAGCTTCAGCATCAGTCCTTCCAATGAACACCCAGGACTGATCTCCTTTAGGATGGAATGGTTGGATCTCCTTGCAGTCCAAGGGACTCTCAAGAGTTCTCCAACACCACAGTTCAAAAGCATCAAGTTTTCGGTGCTCAGCTTTCTTCACAGTCCAACTCTCACATCCATACATGACCACTGGAAAAACCATAGCCTTGACGAGACAGACCTTCGTTGGCAAAGTAATGTCTCTGCTTTTTAATATGCTATCTAGGTTGGTCATAACTTTCCTTCCAAGGAGTAAGTGTCTTTTAATTTCATGGCTGCAATCACCATCTGCAGTTATTTTGGAGCCCCCAAAAATAAAGTCTGACACTGCTTCCACTGTTTCCCCATCTATTTCCCATGAAGTGATGGGACCAGATGCCATGATCTTAGTTTTCTGAATGTTGAGCTTTAAGCCAACTTTTTCACTCTCCTCTTTCACTTTCATCAAGAGGCTCTTTAGTTCTTCTTTACTTTCTGCCATAAGGGTGATGTTATTTGCATATCTAAGGTTATTGATATTTCTCCTGGCAATCTTGATTCCAGCTTGTGCTTCTTCCAGCCCAGCATTTCTCTCTTAGCATAATCCCCTGCAAATTCATCCATGTTGTTGCAAATGGCAAAGTTTCATTCTTTTTTTATGGCTGAGTAGTGTTCTGGGGTGTGTGTGTGTGTGTGTGTGTGTGTGTGTACACCACATCTTCTTTATCCATTCATTGCCTATCTTAGTAATTGTAAATAATGCTGCTATGAACATGGGAGTGTGTGATCTTGTTGAACTAGTTTTTTGTTGTTTTTGTTAAATATATACCCAGGAGTGGAATTGCTGGGTCATGTGGTGATTCTGTTTTTAGTTTTTTGAGAAACCTCTATACTGTTTTCCACACTGGCTGCGCTGATTAATTTTCCTCCATTTTTTCTTTGTGTTCTCTTTGATGATAGCCATTCTGTGAGGTAATAATACCTCATTGTGGTTTTGATTTGCATTTCCATAATGATTAGTAATATTGACCATCTTTTCGTGTGCCTATAGGTCATCTGCATTTCCTCTTTGGAAAAATGTCTATCCAGGTCTTCTGCTCATTTTTTTATCAGGTGTTGTTTTTTTGATTGTGAATTATATGAACTGTTTATATATTTTTTATATTAACTCCTTATCAGTTTTATCATTTGCAAATATTTTCTCCCATTCAGTAGGTTGTCTTTTTGTTTTGTCAATAGTTTCCTTTACTCTTTTAAAAGCTTTTAAGTTTAATTAGGTCCCATTTGTTTATTTTTGCTCTCATTTCCTTCACTTTGGGAGACAGATCCAAATAAATATTGCTATAACTTATCTCAAAGAGTATTCTGCTTATGTTTTCCTCTAGGAGTTTTATGATTTCTGGTCTTACATTTATGTCTTTAATCCATTTTGAGTTTTTTTTTTTTTTTTTTTAGAAAATGTTCTGATTTTTTTTTTTTTGCATGTAGCTGTCCAGTTTTCCAGCACCTCAGGTATTAACTTTTGAAAATAACTTTATTCAGCTATATTTTTACACACCATAGAATCCACCCATTGAAAGTGGTTGAAAGTGATTCAATGATTTTTTTTTTTTTAATATATTGATAAAGAAACCTGAGCACCAAAGAATTAATGCTTTTAAACTGTGGTGTTGGAGAAGACTCTTGAGAGTCCCTTGGACTGCAAGGAGATCCAACCAGTTCATGCTAAAGGAAATCAGTCCTGGGTGTTCATTGGAAGGACTGATGTTGCAGCTGAAACTCCAGTATTTTGGCCACCTGATGCAAAGAGCTGACTCATTTGAAAAGGCCCTGATGTTGGAAAAGATTGAAGTCAGGAGGAGAAGGGGATGACAGAGGATGAGATGGTTAGATGGCATCACCGACTCAATGGACATGAGTTTGGATAAACTCCGGGAGTTGGTAATGGACAGGGAGGCCTGGCGTGCTGTGGTTCATGGGGTCGCAAAGAGTCAGACACGACTGAGCTACTGAACTGAACTGAAAGTTGTATAGCCATTGCCACAGTTAATTTCAGAACAGTTTCATCACCCAAGGAAAAAACCCTGTACTTACTGGTATTCAGTTCTATTGCCTCCTAGCCTTAGGAAACCACTAACTTACTTTGTGTCTTTATAGATTTGCCTAATTCTGGGCATTATATATAAATGGAATCATCAATATATAGTTTTTTGTGCCTGACTTCTTTCAGTTAGCATATTTTTGAACTTCATTCATGTAGCATGTGTCAGTACTTCATTCCTTTTTATGGCTGAATAATATTCCATTAAGTGTATACGTCACATTTTGTTTACCTATTAATCTGTTTTGACATCTTTTTGCTGTTATGAATACTACTACTATGAACATTCATGTACAAATATTTGAGTATCTATTTTCAGTTCTTTTGGATATATACCTAAGAGTGGAATTGCTGAGTCATATGGTAATTTTATGTTTAACTTTTTGAGAAACCACCAAACTGTTTTCCAGAGCAGCTGCATCATTTTACTTTCCCCCAAGCAATGTATGAGAGTTCCAGTTTCTCCATATCCTTGCCAACACTTGTTATTTTTCCATAATAACTATCCTGGTGACTGTGAAGTATCTCATTATGGTTTTCATTTACATTTTCCTGTTGACTAATAATGTTTAGAATCTTTTCAAATCCTTGCTGGAGAAATTTTTGTTCAAATGCTTTGCCTGTTTTCTAAATTGGGTTATTTTTTTGTTGTTAAGTTTTAAGAGTTCTTTATGTATTCTGGTTACTAGGCCCTTATCGGAAAAGGAAATGGTAACCCACTCCAGTTTTCTTGCCTAGAGAATCCCGGGGACAGAGGAGCCTGGTGGGCTGCTGTCCATAGGGTCACACAGAGTCAGACACGACTGAAGCAACTTAGCATGCATGCATGCATTGGAGAAGGAAATGGCAACCCACTCCAGTAGTCTTGCCTGGAGAACCCCAGGGACAGAGGAGCCTGGTGGGCTGCCGTCTGTGGGGTCGCACAGAGTTGGACACAACTGAAGCGACTTAGCAGCAGCAGCAGCAGCAGCAGCAGGCCCTTATCGGATACATAATTTTCTAGTATCTTTTCCCATTCTCTAGGTTGTATTTTTCACTGTCAAGTATTGCTTAATGCACAAAAATTTTAAGATTTGTGTGTACAGTAAATGTTTTCTTTTCTTGCTCAAGCTTATGGTATCATAGCTAAGCATTTATTGCCAAATCCAGTCATGAACATTTACCCCCATGTTTTCTAATAAGTTACAGTTTTAGTTCTTATATTTAGATCATTGATTTTTTTTTTTAATTTTACATTGGAGTATAGTTGATTTACAGTGTTGTGTTCATTTCAGGTATACAGCAGAGCAATTCAATTATACATATACCTATTCTTTTCAGAATCTTCTCCCATATAGACTATTACAGTGTATTGAGTAGCATTCCCTGTGGTCACAGTACGTCTTTGTTGGTTATCTATTTTACATGTAGTATTGTGTATATATCAGTCCCAACCTCCTAATTTACCCCTCTGCCCCTCATTGATCCATTTTCAGATCTCTGTCTGTCTCTCTTTTTATAGTGTGAGGTATGAATTCAGCTTTATTATTTGGTGTAGTTATCCAGTCGTTCAGTATCACTTGTTGAAAAGACTGTTCTTTCCCCAGTCTTGGCCCCATTGTTGAAAATCAGTTGTCTGTGGATGTATGGATTTATTTGTTCACTCTATTCTGTTCCATTGATCATTGTTTATTGTTATGCCAATATCATACAGTTTTTATTACTGTAGCTGTGTAGTCAGTTTTTAACTTGGTGAAGTGTTAAGTTATCCAACTTTGTTCTTTTTCAAAATTGTTTTGGCTATCTGAGGCCCTCTGCATTCCCATAGGAATTTTAGTATCAGCGTATCAGTTTTCACAGTAGTGAAAAGAAACAACTGGGATTTTCATAGGAATTGTGTTGAACCTGTTTATCAAATTTGCAAGTGTTGCCATCTTAAGTCTTTCAGTCTGTGAATATGGTATCTTTCTACTTATTTAGATATTGTTTAATTTCTTCCAACAGTTCTTTAGTTTTTGGTGTAAAAGACTAACACTTGTTTTGTTAAATTTATTCCTAAATATTTTATTTTTTTTTGGATGCTACTGTAAATGGAATTGTTTTCTTTGTTTCATTTTTGGATTGTGCATTGCAAGTATATTGAAATACAATTAATTTTTGTGTATTGACCCTATTAAGAGCTAAGTAAAAAATTTATAATTGGAGTTATTTTATAATGTTATGAAAAGAGTTTAATATTCTTATATTCTTATTGTTTATCCCTTCCATAAAATTCCTTAAATTCACACAAAACAATAGTTTTGTTTCATAAAAGCCTGATTTTTGTTACAGGGAGAGAGCCTCAATTGCATTTGTTTAAGAGAATAGCATATTTATTCACATGTTTGCTGGGGTAGAGCTGAGGGAGTTATTTTTCCTAAATAAGAAAGATGTCGAGTGGTATTTTTAAAATACAGCCTGTGTCTTGACCACCTTCAAAGTGTCAGTGATTCTCTGTGGCTCCATTATGTTTCTAATGAGACACCATTGGAGTTAATCCAGTAATTAACTCTTTTCTTCCATTTTGTGAAGTTGAGGAAGAGCTGTGTATTACCAACAAGATACAGGAGGATCCTAAATATCTTCTCTCATGTTTGAGTCTACTTCAACTGAATGCTATCCAGTACTTTTGGTGTGCTTATATTCAGTATTTCTAACGTACTTAATACATTGGAGTTTCTTGTAGGAAACCAAAACATTAACTCCTTCCCCCCGACTTATTTTCTTTCTCCTATCTAATAGAAGTCAGTCCTTACAAATATTTCATTGCCACTTAAAAACCAAATAAATATCTTTTAAACAGATTTGAAATCAGGAAAAAACTGAAAACAGCCAAAAAGAAAGAAAAGAAAGAAAAAAAGAAAAAGCAAGAAGAGGAGCAGGAAAAGAAAAAATTGACACAGATTCAGGAATCTCAGGTAGGAGATACAATAGTCCTTGTTATTCAAAGAGTAATACCTCTGTTTTGAGTGTGTATGTATGTTTATGTAAAAGATGGGTTTATATTATAATCAGCTTAGGTCAGTTAGTGCAAGACTGCTCATGTGGGGTCTTCATCTTATAGGTTTCAATAATCTCTGGACATAGCATTTTACCATTTGCTGTGCTATTTAACTCCTTGGGAATTCTGCTGAAGTCTGCATGTAAAAAAGCAGCTCATTGGTGTGTGAGCATTCCTTAAGGGAATGTTGGTAAACTTCCTGTCCCAGGTAGCTAAATTGGTTATGATGTTTACTCAGGTGTATGTCATCCTGGACTTGGTAATAAATGTAGCTGGGAAAATTAGTCATCTCTGCATTTATCACAAAAAGCTTTGTTGACAGTATTAAGAAATATTAGCCACGATCTAGGGAGTCCTTTCAGAAAGTGTTTACTCTGATATTTCTTTGGCTTTCTCTTTATTAGCCAGATAAGATAGGGACTCACTATACTGCTCAGTCCACTTTGTCCACAAGAGGATGCTGTCTCCCCTTAAGCAAATTTCAGTTTCTGCAGCCAATATAGCTTCACATTGGAGAACTGAATTATTGTTAGTTACGGAGAATGTAATCAGCTATTGGTGAAAAGAACCATCCTACACAACTTTCCTTTCCCAGGTAACATCCCACAACAAGGAACGACGTTCCAAACGGGATGAGAAACTGGATAAGAAATCTCAAGCCATGGAGGAACTAAAGGCAGAGCGAGAAAAACGGAAGAACAGAACAGGTAAGTGGGGAAAATGTAATGGCTACTTTGTGTCTTTGATCATATGATTTTACTTCCTGATGCCATTTTTATCCCCCTCCCCCCTTTAGCTCTCAATTTTAGACAGTTCCAAACACAGAGAATAGTATATTTATCTATTTTTATTTATTTGGCTGCACCAGGTCTTAGTTGTGGCATGTGGGATCTTTAGTTGCAGCATGTGGGATCTTTAGTTGCAGCATGTGAACTCTTGAGTTTTGATGTGTGGGATCTAGTTTCCTGACCAGGGATTGAACCCAGGCCACCTGCATTGGGAGTGCAAAGTCTTAGCCACTGAACCACCAGGGAAGCCCCTCTTTGGGTTATTTTAAAGTATAAGTAAATCCCAGCATCATCGCATTTCAACCATAAATACTTCAATATGTATTTCTAAAAGATTAGGACTCTTAAATATAACTACAGTACCATTACCACAGCTAAAAAAAGTGACAAATATTTTTCTTTCAGTCTGTAGGTTGTCTTTTCGTTTTATTTATGGTTTCCTTTGCTATGCAAAAGCTTGTAAGTTTGAGTTAGTCCCATTTGTTTATTTTGCTTTTATTTCTATTGCCTTGGGAAACAGAGAAAACATTGGTGTGATTTATATCAGAGAATGTTTTGCCTGTGTTCTCTTCTAGGAGTTTTATGGTGTCATGTCTCATATTTAAGTCTTTAAGCCACAAAATGGTGATATCATTCTTTCATCTACTATCTGGTATACTTATATAAAGAGAAACTTACCAGCTATTCAGTTACCACCAGGGACATTTTGTATTTACTAGTTCTCAAAAGAATGAGATAGTTCCTTAGCAAACTCCAACTGTAACCAGTGAGATTTGTTTGTTTGTTTTGTATATCCTTGGGAACTCATGGATTTTTAACATACTTTATGTTTTTATTCCATTGCAATTATTATTGTTGAGACTCAAATTGTCTTATATTCAACCAGTTGTAGCATGCTACTAGATTGGTTATTACTTCTAAGTCTTTTCGGTATTCAGAGCTAGGATTTTTTTTTTTTTAGGATAAATTTATTTTGAGCCTCATACTGATATATCTGTTTCAAAACTAGGATGCCAAGGTTTTTTTGCTTTGTTTTGTTTTTGCTTTATAACAACTTTCTTGAGGTATAATTAAGGAACCATACTGTTGACTCATTTAAAGCATACAGGGCAGTGGCCTTTAGTATATTCACAGCTGTGTAATAAAACTCAATGAGCTTTCAAATGTTTCATTACTCTAAAAAGAAACCTCATATCCCTTAGCTGTCACCCCCTCAGTCCTGTTATTTCCCAGCCGTAGGCAACCACTGGTCTACTTTCTGTCACTATGGACTTGCCTGTTCTGGACATGTCCTATAAATGGAATCATATACTATATGGTCTCTTGTGTCTGACTTCTTTTACTTAGCATGCTTTCTGGATTCACCCATGTTGTAGCATGTATCATACTTCTTCCTTTTATGTCTGGATAATGTTCCATTATATGTCTGTACACGTTTTATTTGTCCCTTCACCTCTTGAGCGACACTGGATTGTTTTCACTTTTTGACTGGTACAAATAATGCTGCTCTGAGCATTTATGTGTAAGTTGTTGGGTAGACAGATTTTCACTTCTCTTGCCTATACATTTAGGAGTGGAATTGTTGAAGCATATCGTAACTTTGTGTTTGACCTTTTGAGAAACTGCCAGGCAGTTTTCCAAGAGACTTAACCATTTTGCATTTTCACCAGCAATGTATGAGCATTCTCCCCTGTTTTCACATCCTCACTAACACTTGTCATTGTCTTTTCTATTATAACCATCTTAGTGTGTATGAAGTGGTATCTTATTGTGGTTTTGAGTTGCCTTTTTCTAATGACTAGTGATATTGAGCATTTTTTGGTATGCTTATTGGCCATTTCGATATCTTCTTTGATGAAATGTCTAGTCAAGTCCTTCGCCTGTTTTTTAATCAAGTTCTCTGTTTTTTGTTGTTGTTGAGTAGAAGGACTTCTTTAATTATTTTTGATTTTAGTCCTTTATCTGATATATGATTTACAACTGTTTTCTCCTGATCTGTAGGTTGTCTGTTTCCTCTTGATAGTGTTGTTTGATGCATAAAAGTTAATTTTGATGAGGTACTATTTATCATTGTTTATCTACTTTTTTTCTTTTGTTGCCTGTGCTTTGGATATCATATCCAAGAAATCATTGCCAAATGCAGTGTCATAAAGTTTTCCCCCTATTTCCTTCGAAAAGTTTGATAGTTTTAACTGTTACATGTAGATCTTTGATTCATTTTAATTTTTTTGTATGGTGGGAGGTAAGAGTCCACTTTTTTTTTTTCTGTCATGTGGGATATCTAGTTTTCCTAGCGCAAGGTTTTGAGATGACTATCATTTCCCTATTGATTGGTCTTGACATCCTTGTCAGAAATCATCTAACCATAGACGCAAGGGTTTATTTCTGGGCTGTCTATTTCATTGGTCTGTATATCTTTCAAATGACTTTTCTAAAGTCACTTGTTGGGAGTTCCTTGATGGTCTACTGGTTAGAATTTGATGCTTTCACTGCCTTGGCCTATGTTCAATCCCTGGTCAGGGTCTGAGATCCCACAAGCCAGGTGGCGTGGCCCAAAAAAAAGTCACTTACTAGAGTTCTTTTTGTGTGGTTGTGCCATCAAGTGAATACCTTGTTTTATTTTGTTTGTGATCTGTAGAGATGACATTATTATTATTATTATTTGCTTTATGATTATATAAAATACAAGGTTCCAAAGTCAAACTTTCTAAATAAGGTATGTTCAAAGAAATTTAGCACCTATACCCTTCTGTTTCACTCCTTGCCTCTCTCCCGTAGTCGGCAGCCTTCCTTTTTAGTTTTTTGAACAAAAGGAACAGATTCACCTTCCATCTTGAATTAATGGTAGCACATTATACACACTTTTCTCTCCCTTGCTTTATTCACTTACTCATATTTCTAGAGATAACTCCTTAGTTTTTAGGTCAAGCAGTGGTTGGTAGACTACCTGTTTTGTAATGATTTGATTGGAATACAGTGATGCCCATTTTTTCTTTCTGTGCCTGCTTTCTGTCTATAGTAGCAAAGTTGTGTAGTTGATACAGTAACCATATGAAGCCCATCCTAAAATATTTACTATCTGTTGATTTAAAAGATTTTCTGACTCAGGATGCAATGTAATGGCTCAACTTGGCTCATTCCTTGTTTCACTGGGTCAGTGTGCTAGAGGTGATTCAGCCACTCCCCTTTGCAGACATTAGGGTTGTTTTCAGTCTTGTGCTATTACATGTAGTGCTGTAAATTCAAAATAAGGTTTCCCTGAAACACTCTGAAGACATCTTTAGTTTTTCCTCATTTTTCCTGCCCATCTCCAAGTGTCTTGAGAACAATAAAAGACAAGTGTCAGCAGAGTTGGTGTCTCTTTTTGCCCACTTAGTGACTATCTTCCAACACACCTCCACCTCCTTTATTTTTGTCTGCTGGGGCTTGACATTTGGTATGACTTTAAACTTTCTGGGTAACTCACTTGTATAGATAGCCCAAGTAATCACTATCCAGGCCAGAGACGATGGAGCTATCTATTAAATCTTTTCCTACATTCCAGTCCTTTTTTTCAGAGATGAAAGATGTTTCAGTTTCTTATTGAGAGAACCTCAGTTAAACATTTCCTTTTTATTTTTAAAGCTGAGCTCCTCGCCAAGAAACAGCCATTAAAAACCAGTGAGGTGTACTCTGACGACGAGGAGGAAGAGGAGGATGACAAGTCCAGTGAAAAGTCAGATCGTTCATCCCGAACATCATCATCCGATGAGGAAGAGGAGTAAGCTGTGCACATTTTGGTCTAGTAGTCAGGATGGGTGGGTTCTACGGGGAAAGGCTTAGTGTAGTTTCCAAATATCTCCTCCTGTTTGGTGACAAACTGTGGTTTGGTCAAGTACCCTGAATTGCTGAGCTGAGTTTGCTAGCACATTAGCCAAATAGGCTTCTGCCTTTGGCTTGTAGACTGCGCCCCCTGAACATTTCATCAGGATTTGGCAGGTAGGAATTGCCTTCATGTCACCCTCGGATTGGCCAAGAGCTTATATTAGTTTTCTTTCTCTGATAGTGGGTTGTCTGGGATGGCAGCCTCATTCAAGACAGTTTACAGTCCTTGTTAGGAATAGGATTGTAGTCACACTTTCCTGTTGCTTCATGTATTTTTATTTACCTTGATCTGTTAGTACAATGAACATTTTTCCCAGCGTCCTTTGTTCCTCACAGGAAAGAAGAGATCCCTCCAAAATCACAACCAGTCTCCTTACCAGAGGAATTGAATCGGGTTCGATTATCACGGCATAAGCTGGAACGTTGGTGTCATATGCCCTTCTTCGCTAAAACAGTCACAGGATGTTTTGTACGGATTGGCATTGGAAACCACAACAGCAAACCAGTTTACCGGGTTAGTATTTCTTTCCTTGGACAGTTGTAAGATGTTTTAAATATAATGATTCTTGGCTAAGAGTATGAACTGCTGAACAGACCTGTCACTTTTCTGCTACCATTTGATGGGAAAATAGATTCCAGTTGAGATGTCTTAGATTGGCCACAATCTGAGACAACCAGGGATCAAGCTGACCTGCTGCCAGGCAGAGTACTTGGAGCCTAAAAGTTTAGATTTAGAATGATTTTCCAAAAGCAAGACGGGAGACATTTATGAAATCTTTGTCAGGAGTTATGTGATCTGGAAGATGTATTCATTTGAAAAATAATGAAAAATTTCCACGTTACATACTAAGTGACTTCTGGAACAGGGAGTTATATTGAGGTTTAAAAAATAAACAAAACCTTCCAAGCTATTGAGATTATTTTGTGAGTTCCAGCTCTGCTTCTGTGGTATAGATGACTAGAACATAACTGGTTGGTTTTTTTTTTTCTTTTCTTTTTTTGTTTATTTTGTTCTAAGTTGTTTGATTTTAACCTGTGTTTTACCCCCTTGTGTGAGGACCAGTGGCCATGCCACGTCCCAGAAACCTTGGCAACAGAAACAGACCTCATGGTCTTCACATTTGATTGATAAAACTGACCTCTGAAAGCCAAGTGCACCCCCAATAAGACAGAATTAAGTTAGAGGAGAATTTGCCAGTGGGTCCCACCAGGCTAACTGCATCCTCACTTACTCTGGGCACAGGTGCTTGGCTGTCTAAGTCCTAAACCTGAGAACGGTGCCCAGAACACCTTGAAGCTGTGGGCTCCTCTCAGTTTAGGTTCACTCATCTGCACTCAGACAGATGAAGCCAGAGGATGGGGTGGAGGACTTCGAACGAGTGTGTTGTGACTGGTGTCTCTGTCCTCACTTAGGTTGCTGAGATCACGGGTGTTGTGGAAACCGCCAAAGTTTACCAGCTTGGTGGCACCAGAACAAACAAAGGGCTACAGCTACGGTAGGAGAGGTGCTTCCGTGGCCGATTCTGTTCCCACTGCAAACAGGCACTGCCTGTTGGGGCTGTTGTTTGCTCCCAGTGTTCTGTTTCGTATAATACTGTTTGTGTTGTCCCCACTAGGGACTTGGAGGGAAACTTGTATTCTGCTTTTGCCTATAGGGAAGGTAGGATGTAGCTGTCTCATAGGGGATGTTGAGTGGTAGAACACATAGAAGGAAGATGATCACAAGACCCGCTCCTCCCAGAGTCCTGCAGGCATTCCTCAGTGAGTGTGGTCAGGAGGCTTGTTTCTGGTCCTGGCTCCGTCACCAACTAATCTGATCTCTCACAAGCCAGGTCACCTTTTTGGATTTAGTTTGTGCCTCAGTAACATGATATTGACTGAATGCTGGCTACATGCCATAGTTGTAGGCATCAGGATAGAGGTGAGAACAAAATACACAAGTCTCTACCTTCTTGGAGCCTGAAAATTCTAAAGGCCCCATATGGGAAGGAATAGGAGTAGCTTGCCAGGTCACTGCAAATAGTGGGTCACAGACACACCTCTGTCATGGCCTTATTTGGCCTCTGTGGTCTCTCTGTTCTCTTCTCCCATTCCTGTCATTTCTCCTGGACGGTTGAAAAGAGCCAGTTGGGTTAGGCAGTAGCCATGACATGCCAAGAGTGACTGTCGCTGTGAGGCAGGCGCTTCATGTGGCCGACACAGGGATCAGTGGAAAGGCAGTGTTCTTTCTCTCCAGGGATAGAGCCTCCCTGTCCTTCAGACGCCTCCGTGACACTTCATGTTCTTGATGCCATTGACTGTGACCAGCTTTACTGTAGGTGGACATCTGAAGCACTGGCTAAGCCTGCTTGCTTCCAGTGCTCACTCTGATGCTTAGTCATGGCTGCTCTTTAGAACAGCCTGGAAGGTTTTTTGTTGTTGTTTGTGTTATCTCAGTGGCTGGTTCCTACTCCCAGAGATTCTAATTCATTTGATCTAGAGTGGTGCGTTGGCACTGGAAATTTTGTAAATCTTCGTAAATGATTCTAAAAGGTGGCCAAGACGGAGGCCCTCGGAGATAGGCAGTGTGGAGTCTGGTGGGATTGATCTTCTGGCGCTGCAGTCAATGTGGCCATTCCTGAAGCTGCTGTCTCTTTTTCATGTAGGCATGGCAGTGACCAGCGAGTGTTCCGCCTAGAGTTTGTCTCAAACCAAGAGTTCACTGAGAGTGAATTTATGAAGTGGAAAGAAGCGGTGAGTGAGCAGATAGCACCTCCCTAGCAGTTGTTCATGAAAACACTGACAGAGCCTCTCCCCAAAATTCTTTATTATAAACAACCCTTTTATTGCGTTTTGGTCCAGATGTTCTCTGCTGGCATGCAGTTGCCCACTCTAGATGAAATCAATAAGAAGGAATTATCTATTAAAGAAGCTCTTAATTATAAATTCAATGACCAGGACATTGAAGAGGTAAGAAACCTGGTATCCCAGAGTCTAGAGGCTCATCAAGAGCCAAGTATTAGAGAAGATCATGCCTGTCTTTTCCTTCCTGTATTTTGACATTTTTAGCTCTACCACTATTGCATGAGGAAGAGGGAATTCTGTCATTGCTATCTTAGACTTTAGAGTTCATCAGGATTTTCTTGTACACTGTCACTTGAAGTCATAGCCTAACAAAGTAGATTCAGGACTCAGGGATCTCTATTCTTCTGCTAGGCTTGGTCCTTAAAGAGTTTGCTTTCTCCAGGACGTTTTGGTAAAACTGTTTGATCTCTGTTCTCTTGGACAGTGGCTAGCCTTACAGTACAAGGTCCTTGGGCTGCTGCTGTTTATTGGTGCATGTTCCTTCACGCTAGCCCAGAAGAATCTCCGTGACCCTGGAAGCAGCATAGTACCCCTTGGACTGAACTCGCTCTGTGTGTGGGGCATGGCACTGCCATAGGAAGAGCAGCCCTCTTTTAACTAGCTGCTTACCTCCACAATGGGCTCAGCTGTCCTGCCTACAAAAGTAGTTTAGGAATACCTCACTGCTGGTGTCTCCTCCTCTCTGGTACAGATTGTAAAAGAGAAAGAAAGATTCAGGAAAGCTCCACCCAACTATGCTATGAAGAAAACGCAGCTTCTGAAGGAAAAGGTAAGGACTTATGTTGGAACTACTTTCCCTGTCTTGCAAGGAGATACGGAAACCAGACTTGTTCATCCTCTGCCAAGTCAGTAGTGGCAGGATTGGGAGAAAATGTGGGGCTTGACTGTAAGCAGCATAGATTTTCTTAGCATCTGGGCAGCATCCCTTGGCTGTTTTCCTTTCTCTGAATGGAAGCTGATCTTGCCTGTTCCGTTCTCCTCCCCTTCTAGTCACTTTAGTTTCATGTGTAATAAGATAGACCCCAGGGTAGTATCAGCACTGGGTCCGAATAGACGAGTGATATTGCCAAGCCCCACTGTGGCAGGTGGTTTTCTATTCTTCATGTCAGGGTGGGGTGAGCCTGGTTAGGGTGAGTTAGCCAGGCGGGGCCTGGGTTCTGAGGTGTTTGTTTTTGCTATTCCTTCACACCTCCTGCCATTTGTTCATCATATGAGATATCTTGCCTGTGTTGGAAGGAAGGGGACACTTGATACAGAGCCAGTCACAGCCAAAATCTCATGCATCTCTCTGTGTGCAGGCCATGGCTGAGGACCTGGGGGATCAGGACAAGGCCAAACAAATCCAAGACCAGCTGAACGAGCTGGAGGAGCGAGCAGAGGCCTTGGACCGCCAGCGGACCAAGAACATATCTGCTATCAGGTGTGCTTCAGGGCCTGTGTTGATTGGGCTCCTATCCTTCCACAGTTATCAGGCGAGCTGTGGCCTTGTACGTGCTATGCTCCAGTGGCTCCACATATCTGGGGTCAGGCACCATGGTTCCCTCCCTCCTTTCACAGTCCACTGACTCATTCCTCTTCCTCACCCCACAGTTACATCAACCAGCGGAACCGGGAGTGGAACATTGTGGAGTCTGAGAAGGCCCTTGTGGTGAGTGAGACAGCTTGATCTGGATCACTAAGTATAGTTTTAATTAATAAAACAACATGTAATCTTTTCTGTATCTCACCTGAGTATGTTTTCTTTTAATTATTAAAGTAGCATGTACATTTAACACACACATAGTCTCTCTGTATGTATACATACAACTACATAAGGTATTAATTTATAATAAAAAGCAGCAGTCTTCTGTGCTGTCTAACCCCTCCCCATCTTTAGATTCTATTCCACGCATATTAATTTTTATCAGTTTCCAGTTGTTTTCTTTTTGTTGTTGCTCCCATAATCTGTTCTGGTGTTCTTGAAGGGAAAAGGCTAATAGCCTTTGACTTTTTAAGGCCCTTGCAAAGACTGTTACTTATACATATGCTTATGATAAATGAGAGGCGTGGGTGGCAGGAGATAGCGTTCTGTAATACATGCTCTCTGTTTCAGGCTGAAAGTCACAACATGAAAAACCAACAGATGGATCCCTTTACCAGGCGACAGTGTAAACCTACCATCGTTTCTAATGTGAGTGCCTAAAGAGGACATATTTAGTCAGGACCTAGATTCTGGGACATAAATGAATTCCATTAGGAGATTAATAAGGAAGTTAAAAATAATGTTGTCTTAGTGGGATTTGCCTGCCTCAAACACTTGGGTCTAGATACTTCCTTTTTTATCTTACTGTAGGACATACAGGTAGTAAAAACTTGGCATGGATTTTAGAAACCCATGGACTAACGTGTGATGCCAGGGCAGGTTTACCAGTGCAGCAGACATGAGGAATGTGTAGGCTAGGTTGCCTAGCAAGGGCCTGGCTGGGCTGTACTTCAAAGCTTTTAACTGTTCCTTTTTGTAGCCTGGAGGAAAACCCCACTGAACTGCTGATTGGCCTACTGTGGTGCTTGTGTTAGTGGTGGTAGGTGGGATAGAAAATGGTGGTAGGACTGTGTAAGTGTTGAAGAGTCTCTAAAATAACTTACTTTTTCTCTCAGTCCAGAGACCCAGCTGTTCAAGCTGCCATATTGGCCCAGCTGAACGCAAAATACGGTTCTGGAGTGTTACCAGATGCTCCAAAGGAAATGAGCAAGGCAAGTATAACACTGAAGCTTGGCCACTGGCCTGGACACCAGAGCAGGCACTTCCTGGTTTGGACTTGATTGTCCCCACATGGAGGAACTTGGCGTCCCACTTGCAGTCCTTTCTTCATCCTCATTATTTACAAATGTAATAAACAGCTACTGAATTTTGGTCAGATGATGTACGTTCTGAACCCAGCACCAGTACTTCATGAAACCCCTGACTGTGGCTTTAGGCAGCTGACCTCCAGCCTTCTAATCTACATTTTCTCCTGTGTAAAGTGGGGTAATATTATATACCCTGCCTAACTCATAGGACAGTCAGGAGTAGATGATATGTAAGGATGAGACAGTTGTAAAAGTGAAAGCTCCTTATAAACTGAAATGTTAAACCAAGAGAAACTGCCCATTTAGAAGCCATTTTCTGCCTTTTCCTGAGGAGCCCAAACTCCCAGAAATTCCAGAGATCTTGGGTCAGGGGTGACTTGTTGTCTTAAGCTTACCCTTTCTGCCCTCACACCACAGACATGAACCTTCCCTTCCCTCTCCTCTTAGGCTCAGAAATGAAACCTCTTTGGGGACACTCCTGTCCTCCCTCTGAGAGAAGAAATCAGAAAAGTCTTTAATAGGAAGACCTGATGAACTCGAGCAGCAGTTTTTACCATTAGTGGTTGCTGCTTCTTGAAGTCCAGTTGCATTTATCCCTTTGTAATTAGTTTTTCTCTTCCCATTGCAGGGTCAGGGAAAGGATAAAGATTTGAATTCTAAGTCAGCCAGTGACCTCTCAGAAGACTTGTTCAAAGTACATGACTTCGACGTGAAGATTGATTTACAAGTTCCCAGCTCAGGTAGGTGAAGGTAGTGATTAGTCATGCATAAGGACCAGGTGGCTCCATGACTCTCAACCAGCAAGGAGCCTGCTTTTAGGGAAGAAATGGGGGTGTCTGGTCACCTGTATTTATGGAGGCCAGAGTAAGATAGGCTGCAGGTCTGTCTTGAGAGGGAACAGGGACAGTCAGAAAGGCTACCTGGAGGAGTGAAGCACAAGACTGGGAGACCTCAGATGCCAGTTTGCTCTTCTTTCCTGTAGAATCAAAGGCTTTGGCCATCACATCCAAGGCTCCGCCGGCCAAGGATGGAGCTCCAAGGAGATCTCTGAACTTGGAAGACTACAAAAAACGACGAGGGCTTATCTGAGCGCACCCAGCCTGCTGCGTCTGACCCTGCATGCCCATCACAGTGTCCCACCTTTCCTCTGATTTGCCCTCACTGGGCTGGAGCAGCAGGAGAACTGGGAAGAGACTCTAAACTGCCAGTCATCTGTAATATAAACCATTTGCTGTATAGACTTCCCTGGTCTGCAACATCTCCACCAACCCCCCAGGACCCACCCAATGTGAACCTGGGCTCTTGGGCTTTATCCATGTCTTTAGATTTGTGTTTGCCTTTTTCTTTTTTTTAAACCACAGTTCATTGGCCACTCTGCACGCATTCAGTATTACCGTGGAGCTGGGGTTCTTGCTGGAGCCCCCAGCAGCAGCACTGGGCAGCGTCCTGTACGGGATGGCCCTGGGCCCAACCATTGAACATTTGGCCCTTGGCCCTTGTGGGGGAGTGGGGGCTGGGCACCCGCAGTCCGCTCTCCTCTCTCATCTTTCTCTTCTTCCGATCTTGCGGAAGAAGGGTTTTCAAAACCCAATTTAGTTTCCAAAAAGTGTACATTTGTTGGGGGGGGGGGTCTATTTGAGAGAGAGTGTGTATGTGTGTATGTGTCTGTAAGTGTGTGGATTTTTTTATCATTTTTTTAAAATGCAGTACTCTTTGTATCTGTCTGTCATGGGGCTATAGCTGTTTCAGATTTTTTTCAGCTGTACTTGAGCATCTGAAACTGCAAGAAAGAAACTCATTAAATGTGATTCTTCTTACTAAACAGGCCTGACTGCTGTAGCTGTGTAACTTCTCCCCCACCTCCTCTTTCCCATCACCTTCCCACCTCGGAGAAATCTCCCCAGTTTGGCCCCTGCCCTGTCAGCTGTGTCCTGGCAGGTGGGAGGGAAGCCCATGCTAGGTACTAGGGAGGTACAGGTGTCTTGCTCAGCCTGTGTGTTCAGCCCACAGCTTCTTGGCTGAATGTAGAGTGTGTCTTTTCCCCGCCCTATGTACTTGTCTCTTCCTAGTGATTCTGTTTTGCCGTTTCAGCAAGAATAATATTTTGTTCTGTTTTTTAAGAGAAAGTATTCAACATGAATGTGGAAAGAACAAACACAAAGATATAGGTTGCAGATGTTACAAGCATGTGCAGTTCTGTGTGTGTGTATACATATATATGGTAAGCATATATATTGTGCAGCTAGGGTGAAGCCAGCAAAGAAGTATGTATGTCTTTATAAAATGTTTGCAAAGAGATAAGCTGACTGCTTGATAATCATTCTCAGGTGTAAAGCTCCAAGTGTAAATAAAAGTGGCATTTAACAAATCTTTTCAGAACAAAGTACAGCTGACTATATAAAACAAGAACTAAGCTAAAGGAACAGCTGAGAGCTGCTGATTCCCACAAGAGGGAGAGGAATCTCAAAGCCCTGCTTTGTATCTCTTCACCCTACTTTCTATAAGAAAGTGGGATGATGGGAAATCATGGATTAAGTTGTATTTAAACAAAAAGGAACTTGGTAACTCTTCTGGGTTTAGTAGAGCCTCAGTGTTGCTTTAACTTAGTTTACACTTTTTTTATTTAAAAAAATAAAAAGCAGCAAATGTTTTTTTAAAAAGAATTGTGACTGTAAAATTGATAAATATGACTGTAACACAGCTATATGGTGGCTGTGACAGTTCAGTTGGGCAAAGGAGTGGAGGTGGACTCATTAAAATCATATATACTTGAATAGTCCATTGACCAAAACTCTTTATAGACTGTTGTGTAAATGTGGAATCTCAGACTGTTAAACATTGCCTGGACTCCAGAAGAGTCCCGGAGGCTGCTGGGACCTCTCGTATCATGACAAACTTGGACTTTTTTTTTCTTTCTTGTTTTAAAAGACATGAAATGATAGAATCCATATAATTTGCTGGAGACATTCTGATCCACCATGTAGATCTGTATTTAGTATCATTTGGATTTGGAGAAGTGTCGGTTACATTATGGCTGTGTAATAAAATTTTTATTAAAACTGCATCACACTGTAGCCACTGTGCCACTACCTCCCCACATGCAGCTGCTGAAACTTTTGTTCTGAGACGCCAGAAACAGCAGGGAGCAGAGCCAACCAAAGAAGACCGACAGTTAACTTCTCACCTGAGTAGCCTATTTTGGTGATTGGAATCAAGACTGAGGACTTGTCTGCAGTCTCAACTGAGGCAGGGCCTCTGAACTGAGATCTTGACCAGGCATAGTACATTGGCTTTATCCCACCGACTGAGCTTCTTGGAGGTTCGAGGTGGTACTTGTGCTGGGGAATGGCAGCAGCGGCCCACTGCGCCACCCCCACCCCCCCAGGTGGTTTCAGTGTTGAAGGGTGTGGCACCTAAAGCTGCTTTATACATCTTTCACTTCCTTCCAAGAAGCAAAAAGGCCAATGTCCGTATGCCGAGCTCATGATGTATAGAGGTCTGTTTGTCTGTCTTGCTTCTGACAGGTGCAGGGAAAGTCTTCCTGCCTATAGCTTTCCTTCAAAGAGAATGCTTTTGTTTTCTTTGTTTCTGTGAAGTCCTGACCTGTCACTCAAACTGTACAGATATTTGTAAATAAACTTTATGCCCTGTTTTAACAAGGGAGTCAGATTTAGTCCAAAGACTGCATCCTGAGTGGCAACTCTCAAAGTTTATGTTTTAAAAGTCCAAGAGAGCCTCTCTCACTTGGTTTCTCTCCCTCCCTCTCCTCTTAGCCCTGACCACCACCACCCCCAAGTGAAACTCTTCAGCTACCCAGTTCCCCAGAAGCCTCTCTGAGACATTGGTTGTCTAGAGCCAAGGCAACCTCCAACTGGCCTAGTTTACTTTCTACTTTGGAAGATACCAACAAGCTCTAACAGAACTAGGTAGGCCCCTGATACACTGCCTAACCCTAGTGAGAGTGTCGTCCTAGCTTTCAGTTGGCTGAGGTATAATTTCTTTGTTAATCTGTTTCCTGCCTGTCGTGAGTGTGAAGGGGAACCCAGGGCTTGTGAGTATGGCTCTGGAGGAAATACTGATATCCTTCCCTTAGGGCCCCAGCTGGGGACATCTGTAAGGCTCCCTGCCCTCACTACATGAGGCTGTCTCAAACCTTTCTAGACCTGGAAAGGTAGGGGGTGGCAAACGCAATGGTACAAGCCCAGTCCAGGCCTGCCTTTGATGTTGGGAGAGGTGGGTCCCTGGGGCTCACCTAGCAACTGCATCTAATGAGGTTTTTTTAAACTCCCTATCACACCAGCCACCTGATTGTTGGAAGCAGTGAGCTCCTGGGCCCTAGAGAGCAGAGATTATAGTCTAGCCTAGAGGACAGCCTTCTCTAGTTATTTTCCCAGGGTTCTCTGCTGGGAGGCAGCCACTGGCTGTGACTGCTTTGGATGGAGGAATGCAAAGGGAGAGGGGTGCAGGGTCTGTTGGCTATCTCATGGTAGTGGCATCCAGGAATGGGGAAATCACGGGCCTCCAGCTCAGATACTTTGTGTGACTTACTTGACTAAAGTGGGCAGCTGAACTGCGTTCGGAAGGAGAGGTTTGGAGGGAGCAGCAGCACTGGGGGGTGAGGGCAGAGGGGCAGTCTGCCTTCTCTGTAAGGTTCCCCAGGCTGGCCCCCAGGGCCAGAGTTCCTTGGCCCAGAATAGGGGCTTGGCCAGTGCAGCACAGGCAAATTGAGGGCTTCCAGATTGTGCTCTGGACCTGAGGGAGAGCCTAAAAGCCACAAGGTAAGCGGGCTCAGTGCAGCGTTCATACCCCAGCTCCACCACTTAACTACCTAGGGCTGAAGCTGGCTAACTCTTCTGAGCCTATTCCCCATCTTTAACATAAAATCTACCAGGAGCCTGTTCAAGATGAAGTGTTCCTTTTCCCAGTAAAGGTTCGGTAAGGGCTGTTGTCCAAGTAGAGGCCATTAGGCCTCACAGGAGAGACTTGGAGCAGAGAGGAGGGGTGGGGGTGGAAGGGGCAGTGTGACGGAATGGGTCAGAAGCCACAGAACAGCCACAGTGCCAGCAGAGGTCATGAAGCTCCAGAAGCTGGAGCACCTGCCCCAGAGACTCAGGTGGCTCCCACCTAGGAGTGTGTGTGTGTGTGTGTGTGTGTGTCCCACCTAGGAGTGTGTGTGTGTGTGTGTGTGTGTGTGTCCCACCTAGGAGTGTGTGTGTGTGTGTCCCACCTAGGAGTGTGTGTGTGTGTGTTCCCACCTAGGAGTGTGTGTGTGTCCCACCTAGGAGTGTGTGTGTGTGTGTGTGTCCCACCTAGGAGTGTGTGTGTGTGTGTGTGTGTGTGTGTTCCCACCTAGGAGTGTGTGTGTCCCACCTAGGAGTGTGTGTGTGTGTGTGTGTTCCCACCTAGGAGTGTGTGTGTGTGTGTGTGTGTTCCCACCTAGGAGTGTGTGTGTGTGTGTGTGTGTGTGTTCCCACCTAGGAGTGTGTGTGTGTGTGTTCCCACCTAGGAGTGTGTGTGTGTCCCACCTAGGAGTGTGTGTGTCCCACCTAGGAGTGTGTGTGTGTGTGTGTGTGTTGAAGCAGGGGAGGGAGGTCAGGAAACTCAGTCTCCTTATGGAGGTTCCGACGATCACTGGGGCTGGCCAGGAGAACTGTCCAGAGAAGGACAGCTGCCTTTTGGACTCAACTTGCTGCTGCTGTTCTCTGCAGCACACCCTCTTTACTGATTGTCAGTCTGAAAGCATCCTGCTCCCAGCCCTCACTGGCTCCAAAGGCCTCCACCTCACCACTGCCCCAGGGGACTCAGAAAGACTGTGAGGCTTCACCTCTCCAACACCACGGAGAGTAATTAAAACATAAAAACCGTGTCAAACTGGAAAATGAGTGTAAAGAAGTTCAACCAAGTTCTGATCTGTTTCATGATGACTTAAGAATCTTCAGGATATCAATTTTTTTTCTCTTTTAGCTGTCCATGACCCTGCATTTTCCCCAGTGGTTCAACAGTCTGCCTGCAATGCAGTACACGTGGGTTCAGTTTCTGGGACGGGAAGGTCCCCTGGAGAGGGAAATGGCAACCCACTCCAATATCCT